TCGGCGCGCGCCCCGCGCTTTCGCCGCTCTGCTCCTCGCGCCTGTCCCGCCGGCCTCGCGCCTCCTCCAAGCCGCAGCCTCAGCCCTGCGGCCCTCTGAGGATAAAAGACGGGCAGCCGGGTGGAAAGGAAGGAGAAGGAAACAAGACCGAGGAAGCGGAGAGTGGGAGTGAAGGGAGGAGATGGGCACACCCGGGGACGAAGGAAGGAAAGGGAAACCAGTGTGCGTGGGGGTGCGGCGGGGGAGAAGAGAGTCCGAAATAAGTATCCAAGTCCCAAAGCACAGCTCGATGACCGGCGCCGCACTTAGTGACACTTGAGCTGAGTTACGTGGAACCTGAGCCGCCGGCCTTAAATATGCTGGTTTCTGAACTAACTGGCAGAGTGTGAGCAAGCAGGTGCTTAGAGCTCCACATCTGAGACCGCCCCTGTAAAGTATGTACAAAGTATCGGGGAAATGGTTACACGGCGGTGGCTTTAATATCGATCTAAGCACGCAGCAGGCTTGTGGTAAAAGAGCAATACTCTTTCCTATTGACAGATATTCAAGCCCAATTAAATCTATGTATCCTCTGCTTGTTCCCCAACTTTCTCTCCTTGCCCCGTGAAAACGTTCAAAAGCAAGAAGTCCTAACCAACATCTCACTGGTTCAAAGATGTTGATTGTGCTCTGAAACTTTCTGCCGTGGCTTATGGGCGTGTGTGTGTGTGTGTGTGTGTGTGTGTGTGTGTGTGTGTGTCTCAGGAACAAAGCAGCTACCACAGATCTTACAGGTAAATAGGGCAGGTAGTGTACTGAGTCACAAGTTGAAAGGTTTTGTTCAGGTATATTATTAGACAGTTCTTAGTATTCATTTTTAAAATTTCTCAATCAAAGAAAGCTTGGATGGATGAAGAGGCGTATGTATGACTGAGTCAGTCCCGTTCCAGGCACCTAAGACAATAATCAAATGTTAAACTTCATAGAAATGAACCTGATGGAAACAGAAAGTAAATATAAGCAACTTGCATTGTGTCTACACCATGCCAACACATCTAGACAAAGTGAGGTATCTGCATATTTGGAGACATCAGAGGATTGATCGATTTTGTCACTTTTGAGCTTAAGGTGTGGGATCTTGCAAACAGCTGAGGGCTGCTCACTCCATTCAGGAAAAACCGAAGTTTATTCATTCAATAAATATTGAGCCTCTGGGCCATACTATGTGCACAATACTATACTTATGTTGGCATCCAAGAAGTATGCTTACCATTCTCAAAGAGTTTAAGAATTAAGTCAGATCTGTGTACATAATCAGATACATAGCTACTATTTATTGAGCACTTTTGGGGTGCCAAGTACCATGCCTCGTCTTACCTCATAGCCCCTCAAAATAATATTTTCTCTCATTTGATATTCACAGTAACTCTCTGAAGTCGCTTATTTACAGATGAGGAAATTGAACCTTAGAAGCAACTTGCCCAACACCACACATCTAGAAAGTGACAAAACCAGGATTTGAAAGCAGGCATGTCTGATTCCAAAAACCATGCCATTGTGCTAAACTGCCTCTCAGTACCAATGTATGACAGCAAGGTTAGTGATGGATAAAAGATAGTCACATTAAACTGCAGTAGATACAATGGAGGTTAAACAAAAATAACTTAGTTTTCATGGAAAGACTGAAAAACTCTATGTGAAATAGATCAACTGTCGAAAATGGTTAGCTGCAACCTAAAAACAAACAAACAAACAAAAAAATGGGTTAACTGTTTTGTGATATGTGATCTCATTCTCTCAGACCTCATCATCACTGTTACAACTAACTATCCTGTTTGAGGCAAAAAACCGACTCATTGTCAATCACTAGTGCAGTAAACAAAAAGCATTTTTTTTGCCGTGTTGCAGAAGAGAAAGCAGATTGGTTTAAAAAATGTTCCACAACAACTGGTACACTCTTAGGGTGTTTCGTTTTGTCTTATACTTTAACTATCAGAGCCTACCTTTTAATTTGTTTGAAACTGGGTCGAATGCGATGTAAGACAGTAGGTAGCAATTTACTGACCACACTAAGAAGTGAACACTTCTAGAGTAGAAAACCAGTGCCATTGAATGACATCACACTCGAGTTTAGCACAGGAAGCAAAGTAGAATACCATGGATGGCTGCTTCTGCTAGGGGAATTTAGGAAAGCAGAATGTAATCTCCTGATTTAGAATTTGGCCAGTAGACAAGAGTCTAACGCCCCTACTCTTGTGAAAATAGCAAGGAATCTTTAATAAGCACCAGTAGTCATGTCCTTAGTCCTGCAGTTTATCTAAAAACAAAGCACTATCATAGCTATTGTACCAGGCAAAGGGGTTGATGCAGTGGGAAACCCCAAAACAAGGACATCCCAGCTGAATTACAAAAATAGCTTTTTCCCCAAGGATTTTAAATTCCAATTCCAAACCTTACAATCATAAGGAAATAGACAAACCCAAACATGAAGACTGCAGAAAATTCATCATTTCCTGACCACTGGGAGTTACTATCTGAACTACTTTGTTGTATCGGCTGGCTAAAAGCCGCAGTCGGGGGGACACTCTAACCTTTTTCTCTGGGTTAACTTCTGGGTCTGGCTCATCTCCTATACTAACTTTGTGCCTCAAGATGTTTTGCAAATCCCCTGGCAAGTAGTGGTGGTAGTGGTGGTAATGCCTTCTTTTAGCCTTTGAGGAAATGCATCTCCTAGCCTTGTTTTCTTGCAAACTCACAGCATAGAAATAAACATATTTCGTTCAAACAAAACAAAATCTACAGATCAAATTATGTGAAAAAGTTTTTCTTTTTTTGTTTTTGTTTTGTTTTGTTTTGCATCTGCGCAAAGTGCACACTGAATGGGAAAATTGACCTTGCTCAGTATTCTTTTGACTTGAAGTGTAAAGGTCAAAGTATGATAGAGCACATGTGTTTCTACCCGCTTTTGATACTGATATGCAGTGATAATACCCTCCAGAGGAAATGTTAAGGTGCCTTCTGCTTTTTGTAACTGACTGTCAAGCTGGGAGCTAAAGATTCCATGTTTCTTTTAAATAAGAAAAATAAATGGGCCATAGTCTCTTTGTCAATGAAGCATATTCAGACTGTAAGCATTTCTTCATCTGCATCAGCCTCTAAATTGCTGTGAGCTATTGTCCAATGCTTTGTTTAAAACTGTGAAAAACCACTTGAACAAAGGTTATGCACATTATTTACTAGGTGATAAAACTGGAAATTGAATTAAACCCAAAGGTTACTGATTATTTTACCATTACCTCAATTTTTCTCATGTTTACAATAGTTACTTTTCATTTCAGCAAAAAAAAAAATATATA